ACATCAAAACCTATGATTTTTTTTTTCTTGGAAACTTTTACAAGTAGATAAGTATATGTTTGTGTTTTCTTGATTCACCAATTCACCAATAAAATCAGTGTCATATTGTAACACGAACCTTTATTGGTCGAGATATAAAAAAGGTTACACGTCAGTAAATGGACAGCCGCAATAAAGGAAAAAATTTCTTTTTTAATCAAGTATGTCAACAACTAATTTTCATCATTAAAAAATGTAAACACATTACTAAACAACCCTTTTGATTCCAATAAAGAAAGATGCTTTACTATTAAAATACATGTAAAAAAAAATATTTATCTAAACTGTTAAATGAATCTGATTCTTATATGTAGATTAAAGTTGGAGAAGACCAGGATGTTAAAAGTTTTAAAGCTCATTCCACCATTTTAAAAGCAATATACTTGTATTTTAAAACTGTTTTTCAAATAATTGGGTTAAAAAATTTTAAAGATGGTGTCATTTTATTTGAAAAAGAAAACATTACTCGAAAAGTATTTGAAGTTCTTTTAATGTAAGGATTGTTTAACTGAATATGTTAAATTATAACAATTATAAATAAAATATCTAATACAATGATTTAAAATTATTATTATTATTAAAGATGTATTTACAATTGAATGATGAATGAATACATATAATAATAATAAAAAATGGACTCGGCAGGATTTAATTCATACTAATTATGTTTCATCAGAGCATCAATCATTCAATTTGCTTCAGGAATATTTTAACCAAATAATTTCCGATTATCTAGGATCATTTTTAAAAGCTTATATTTTTCAATCCATTGAAAAACCCATGGTCATATCTATATTAGAAAGTGATCATTTGGCATTGAATGAAATAGATACTTGGATTTTATTACTCAATGGGAATAGGACAAAATGAAACATTGAAAAAAAAACATATTTCAGAGTGGGACAAGAGTGATTTTAAAGAATTGAAATTATAATAGAAGACATTGTTCCATTAATAAGATTCAAAGAAAATTTCAAGAGATGGAAGAATTTGAAGTATATAAATTAATAAATTGGAATTAAATATTTTATATTTGATTTAGTTGCTGTGTACGAAATTACTTGCATATTCCATTTATATAAGATATATTATAAATAATCTTAATGTAGTTCTATTTTTTTCAATCGGTTGTTTTTGGCTTTTACATTTGCAATAAGACCAAAAGTAAAACTATATTTTTATGAATTAGAGAATAGTAAATATTTGAATATATATATATATATACACACACATTAGAGAAAATAAATATTCCAGTTCTTTAATCCCAAAAACTTACCCAGAAAGGTTAAAGAAAGATGCCCAGAATCGAGGATCTAGAAAACTTTGAGCAAAAATTAAGGTGACAAGTGAAGCAGCGCAAGCGGTTAATTCAAGTTTCAAAATAGATTTTTTAAAATTAGATATTATTTGATTTAAATCTCGTGAACCACCAATTATAGCCATTGCTATAATAAAATAAATAAATAGTAAATATCATTATTATGATGTTATGTTATGGAAAGATTGACAGATAGATTGCATATAATTACCAATATAATGAATTGGTGTAAAAATTAATTGAAAAGTGATAACTTGTAGAATTTTGGCTGCTGCTCCTTTACTAATTCTATTGAATAATTTGTCAAGAACCATGAAAACATAGTGATTTAATGGACCATTAATTAAAAGCCCTTTAATAAATTATGTAAATGTCATATCATAAGCATTAAATATTATATATATTTCTTATGTATATGTGAATAAGTGTACCATATAATGTCATCTTGATTACTTTGTCATCAACAAACATAGATAAAATTACTTTATCATCAACATTTTGTATTTTTTCGACATCTTCAACAGCTTTTCTTTCTTCAGCTTCTATTTTTCTTGACAATAAATGTTTTCTTCTTTTTTTATTTATTCCGCTTAATTCTTGAGCTAATAACTCTTGCAAGCAATATGATAGAGCAGAGGTTATAGCCTTATTGGCTAAAGGTTTTGTTGACATTTTTTTTATTTTATATAAGAGAAAATATGAATTTGTAGCCGCAGTCAATTATCATTTGTCTGATCGGACTTTATACCATTTTTAGAACTATGAT